GGAGGTGGGAGATGCTGGCACATCTGTATAACATCTGCATGCTCAGAAACGCACCCACGCACCAGAGGGCTGCGCTATGAAGCCAGATTAGCGGGTTAGCAGGTATGTTGAGCCCTGAAGTCAGAGTTTTCAGTGTCACAAAGGTGCATCTCCATGGTAACTGATGCCGTGGAGCAGGTTAGGTTTTCCGATTTAAATCAGCTGGAAGAAGCGTCTCCCTTTAATCAAATCGTTTCCTGATGAGCGATTCTCAGTTGAAGGAATGTGTTCTATCTGTAAACATACTGAGTTGTACGCTACTAATATCGCTGAATGAAGCCGTGCAGTTACAGTATTGCACACTGTCTGCATCTCGTTGCCATGGGAACCAGATGTGCATTCAGTTGGTGATGCAGAAATCACATAAATATGTTTTTATGTTTGATCTGTTTACGCTGCAGCTGGTAAAACACAGATTAGAAACTAGTCTGTTCTGCTTTTATTTACTACAGAGAATAAAAAACCAGTAACATTAATTTTGCTTTGATTTGGCCAAAAATGAAAGTGATATCCTGCATTATGGGACAGTGTCAGACCTAAATGCACTTCAACACAAGATCATGTTTAAATATAAAAAGTTTAACAGCTTGAATGTGCAGCTGTCAGTTAGAAATAACTGGCTGCATTGATCAGTAAAATAAATACACGTTTAACAGTTTTCTACCAGCATTTGCAGTAGCAGCACTTTTTACTGCCATACATTTTAATATTCCTCATTGTTCTCCATGTTGACTGAAGCAGCTGCACGCAATGGTTTCATTTTGTGCAGAAGAAGAGTCGCATGACGCATTGAACGCTTCCATCTATGTGAGTTTGAAGCCTGAGTTGACAAAGAAAGTTGACCTCTTATCTCTGACAGGGGCTTTAGTTTTTGTCGACTTACAACAAAGAAAGCCTGGCGTCGTACTACAACGCAACGAGAAATGACACCGAAACTGAAAAAGAAGACGGAAACAACAGAGCGACATGGTGGCGTCTTCCACAGAGGCGTGGCTGAGGAGAAACCAGCAGGAAGGAAAACACCATGGCGACAGGTGCATTTGAAATTGTCTCGGCTCAAGTCCTAAACAAAAAGCAATAATGAGCCAGAAACAGAAAATAGAACGATGTCTGAGAGGAAGGAAGTGAAGCAGGAGACGGTAACAGAGCTCCAGTATGTAAGAAGAGACAGACAGAGCAGGAGTAAAAGCCAGCAGATGGTAAAAAAACAAAAAAAACACCTCCTGCTGCCTGTGTTTCTGCTCAGTCTGAAAACCAAAAATGAGAAATCAATGAAGACAAAAGGGAAAAATTATTGACACTGTTACAAAACATGTCTGATCAACAGAACACGTCCTGATTCCAGTAAAGGTGCAACATCTTCAGGAGGTGCTGTTGTGTTTCCAACTTTCCTTTGTCTGGAATTGAGTATGTGAACATATTTCAAACTAATGAATATAATAAATATTTCTCTAATGTATATGTCTGAGCTCTGATTTTAGGCAGTGCATTGAAATTTCTTTGACAATAAAGTGATCTTGTGTTATTCTTGCTGATAGCAGATAAACCCAGTCGCTCAGGAAGTTGAAGGCTGATTGTCTTTATTTAATGCAGCCAAAACAACACCACATCTTCCTGTGTAAATTATGTTCACATATATCTTTATATTTAATTATTGGACATTAGTTTGTAGAAAACTGCCTTCACTTTGACATGAAAGAGTCTTTTTTGGGTAAATTCTTGTCAGAAAACAAAACTAAATTAACCAGAAATCAATGTTGAAAAGCAATAAAATTTGAAAACTTAATATTGGTGGCGAACACTGTTTATAAGCACCATTATTATTAATTATTGGTGATTTTAACTGGGTCTGCAGTTGGTTGGGCACACCCCCGAGTGAAAATGGTACAGTCCAACCACAAAACATGAAAATGAGAATGTCACTTTTGAAAATCAAACTCTGAAGCTAATTAAATTCTGAATAATTTAAAATTAAATTCAAACTATTACACATTTGCACAATAATTTAAAAAATGCATGATTAAAATTTAAACCCATTTTAATTTGATTCATTTTGATTTTCCAACTCAAACACTTGGACTGTGGAGCTCGTCAAAACAAATTTAAAAGGCCTGTCAGCGCATAAGACTTAATTCCAGGTAACAAAACAGAAATGTTCCAGGAACTTACGGTTAACAACGCTAAGCTAAGTTTTTGTTTGGTACCCAATGAGAAAGAACTAGTCAGTGTTTATCTCAGTTTTAACCATCAACGCTTTCTGTCCTGAAGTGAAGCAGCCAGTAAGACTTCAGTGAGTCGGATTAGTGTCAATAAAACCAAACAAAACTTATTTGAAAAATTAAACAAAAAATAAAAATTTGAGAGAGAATAAAATGCGCAAATTTATTAAACAAAACACAAAAAAACAACGTAATCTCAAATGGAAAACTTGCAAACAAATACATTATTAGTATTATTATTTAGTTTTCCTCTTTTTTACAGTTTAAACTGCTTCTTCCTCACTGATCAGACTTTGTTGCTATTGTAGGTGTTCTTTAAACCAATCATAATTGGGCGACGCTAAGCCCAGGATGCAGCAACTGTGTCCCCTCACATGAACAATGGGTGGAGATGTGGAGGAACATTTGAATGCAGGAAGAAGAGCGCTGTCATAACTACACAATTCAAACCAAATGCAAAACTTGACACTTTCGGTTTGGTAGGTTAGCGTTAGCAGATACTTCACCCTAACAGCAAGGTTTATGGCACCACCCATAGATTTTATAACATGTTCTGGATTGTAGCTGCCTGTGTCCTTGTTTTTGCTCCTCCAGTTTATTTCTAGTTTTAAGTTATTCACTAGCTCTAATGTCTTATGTAAATCATTCTGCACTTCCGTGTTGTTGAAAGGCTTATTACAATAAACTTATTTATTAATGAAAAACTGTAATAAATGGGTTGGAGCTCACAGGTTAATTAGTATATTAAAATATAATTAGTTTGGGAACATTTATGTGTGAAGTCAAAACATTATCTGCCATCAAGTTGGTTATTCATCAGTGTGGCTTCTCGAGATGAGAGTGAATTATATTTTCAATGCGCTAATTCATATTTAAAGATTTCATGCGGAGCCATGCATTAATTACTGCCAACTCATTCAAGTCCCACTGATGCCGTCCGTCATCAAACAGAGAAGGAAAGCAGCTAAATGAAGCCGTTTCTGTCTGTTATCCAGAAACACAAAATGAGTCAATCCAGAGGAAATGTAATGAGACAAATAAACTTATCAACCTCTCCAGCAGGGCTTATTACCGAGCCAGAAGCCCAGAAACAGGCCTGCAACAGTCCACCTGCAGCCGCTCGTCTGTCATTAGACAGCGACCGGTGGGAGAGCTGAGATCAGCTCTGTTGGCAAACATCCCAGGAGTCATTAAGCTCGGCCTCTAGCCGTCATTGTCCCCCCGTCTGAGGCTCCTGAGGGGCCCGCAGGCCGAAATTCGGGCAACCGCAAAGTTCAGAGTCGTCCCAAAGGTCCCGCAGTGATAAGACATTAGATTTTAATGAGGGCGATTATTAGCGGCATACAGGTGAACCTGCTGGGTCTGCAGGGTCAGTCTCACCTCTGTGGGAAGAGTCTGTGATGACGGTTCAGGTCAAACTGTAGATGTACAGCCGATTCCAACACGTCTTAGAAGATGAAATCTCCCTTTACAAACGTGTGCTCTCATGTTTAAACGTCAAGTCACTTGTCGTGCAGTGGAACACATGTTTTTGCATTTGTAGTTGTGATCAATAACCCCCCCAGTCCCTGACTCTCATGTCAACCATCTCTCGTGTCATGTAAACACTGTAGAATGACGTGCAGGAACCCTAAAATGTGTAGAAATGACTTGCTACAAGCAGTGGGCTAGCTATACACAATTCCACGACATAGCGTTAGCTTTTCGCACGAGCTTGCAGAGAATGTTGTTTTGTTAAATCAGTGCATTCACAGTTAAGGTATGATTAAAAAATAACCACATGAATAATAAAAGTCCATTTTCTGATCAATGTTTGGGCCAAAAAAGCAACTGCAGTGATGGAGACAGAGTCG